AGATCTTAGGAGCCGAGTGTGGTTGTGCTCGGAATTTCTCCCCACTTGACAGGTTTCATTCACAGACTATGGTGTCCCAAGCTCTACATTAAAGGCTAATGACAGGACTCACAGTCCCAGCCCAGAGCAGCAGGGAGGAATTTCATGTGAATAGGTGTTTCAATAATGTGTGCTAAGTACAGGGTTTCCATGGGAACACAGAGCAGGAGGCCTCACACTCAGCTTTGGAAAGGTTTATCAGAGCATACTGCCTGGAGGAGGAGGTGGTGATGAATCTGCCAGATTTGAAGGATCAGCCTTAGCCACATTGTAAATGCTGTCCTAAACCTGGTGGGCGGCTGGCTGGCCGGCTTCATAAACTAAACACGAATTCTTCCAAATATGCATATAAAAACTCCCAACAGCTGGGCTGCATGTGAGAGGCCTTTCTAGAATTCTGAACAAGATACTGCAGATGGTCAGGATACAAATACTTCTGGTCCAGCAGAAGGCAGCTGTGAGTTCTCCCAGGTACTTATTAGAAAAACAAAAACAAAAGCTCCGGGATGATGGTGTCTAACCTCAGACTAAAGTATCCTCTTGGCACTGAAGACTTGGGGATGTAATAGAAAGGGGCTTGCTAGTGGTCTGTCTGCCGCCCCACTTTTTGCTACACGTTCCTTCAAGATGCTGAGGGGTGGGAAAGTTGATCTAAGCTGTCTAGCCGGTGCTGCTTCCTCTACAAACCACAGTGTTCTGTCTTTAAAGGGAATCAGCTTTTCTTTTTGGCCTGTATGCAGTCCTGCTTAGGGTTCCAGTCACTAGAAGTTTCTGTGACCCAGCAGAAGCCTGTTTCACTCCTCTTCATGAGCTAACTCAGAATGGAAGCCGGGAGTGACCATCTGTTTCTGTTTCTACTTGTCAACGTCCCTTTCTGCCCCTCTTGGTGGCAGCAGGCTGCCCCCAGCTCCTGGCGGAGTGGGGGTGGGAGTGGGGGAGGCTCCCGGTGAGGCCTGCTGGAAACTGAAACCAGGAGCAGGGGTGAGTTCAGCTAAGGAGCCAGCACAAAGGGAGAGGAGAGGCCTCAAGGGAGCTTTGAGGAGCCCCATCGCTGAATGGTGTCCAAGAGAGGAGGCTGCAGAGATAGGCGCGAAGGCATCACGCGGTGGCACACGCACCAACAGAAGAGGTGCTTCAAGAAGGAAGCGGCCACTGCTGTCCTCTTTGACACGAAGGTATGGGTGACCTTGGGATCATTTCAGGAGGAGTGATGGACAGAGGGGAAGTTAGGAAATGAGAGGAAAGGCAGCTTCGTGGGGTTGCAACGCGGGAGGTGGGAAGAAGACTGGGGGGAGTGTGGGGTTGGTGTGGGCTTTGTCTTTTATCAATAAAAAACAAACAAAAACCGCGCATCAGATGTGAGACAGGGCAGCATGTTGAAAACCACAGCAATCACCCAGTTCAAAGGGAGCAGTTGAACAACTGGGGAGAGACAGCATAATTGAGGAGTGAGATTCCTGAGACACAGCGCTCCTGAGAGGGAATACTGTCGACAGGACTCCCGGACACACCTGATGGCTCACCCCCTCACGCAGAGCTACCTGGGCTGGTGTTCTGCAGAAAGTACTGTCAAGGTCAAGGGCCCATCCCCAAACCAAAGACTATGTATGGCTAAGGTCTTACTCTGATTTCAACCTATCAGGACCCTCTCCTCTGGAGCTGGTCCACTCAAATGAAATGTCTGTGCATGAGAAAGGATTAAGTTGTAGAAACGAGAATAGTGACTGCAGAGCTGAAAGATGGGGGAGATGGAGTTACCAGGTGCTGTCCCTTCCCTCCTGGCACTTTTAGTAACACAGATCCTTGGCCTGAATCCCACCGAAACTTTAGCACACGGAGTTAAGAGTGTTCAAACAATACTGCTTAAACCGCTTGTCTGTTAAATTCAGTGTAGCAAGGGATTAGAAGCTGGCTAATTCTAGGGTTCTTGTGTATCTCCAAAGACACAGTAAAACATCTAACGCCACCGTTAGTAATCCCTGGAGATTCCAACTCAGGAAGCAGGCTGAGGCCTGTTAAATCAGAGGTGATTTAGGAGCTAAGCAAACTCCAGCCTCCTGGGATAATTGTGCATTTACTAACCCCACAGTTCCAGCTGTGGGGGGCTTAATTGAAGAAGGAGCAATGGAAACCACATTGCTGGGCAGTTTCTGGGTAAAGAAATTCAGTCTAGTGGAAGGCTATTCCACTTGAGGTGCTCAAGTTTGCCTCTTTCCTGGAAATGATGTTATTTGATTTGTGGCTTCTCTCCCATCATGCTTCAATTCAAACAGCTACAGACACCTTCTGTGTACATGCTGCCATACTATGGCTGGGACACAGTAGCATCCCTTTGGTCATATACAAAGCACCTTTCCTATATAGGAACTTGAAGTGAGAATGGATTCATTCATGAATTATTTATGACCTTAGAAAAGTCATTTCATCAAAGCCTCAACTTCCTCTTCCATAAACTGTAATCGTAGAAGTTCCCAGCTCAAAGGACGATGGGGAGGTACCAATAATATGCGACATTAGCACAGTAGGATGACTCAATTAGAAAATGCCATTACTTTTCCCTCTGAGTCTGCTTAGTCCCACAATATTCTTATGAGATTGATACTATTCTCCTTTTCCCAGATTTTCACGGAGCACCTGCAAGATGCTGGGTGCTGTGGACCACTAATGACCTACGGAGTACCCAGATCCAGAAAAGGAGTCCTACAAACTCAGAAAAGGAAGGGAAGCATCAAAGGGTTAGACTTCTTACCTCCTTGCTGGTTCCTCTTTATCTGACTGACCTCTCTATATCTACTTCCTGAGTTACTTGTGCTTCCAGATTCCTTTAAATATAATGGATTAGCTGACGGATCTCATACATTTATTACCAGAGCTAGATTCCTCCCCCAATTCCAGACTTCCTATCTGATGACCTCTCTGTCATCTCCAACAGAACTTATCCCAAACTAATTCTTACCACCCCAGCCCCCTAAAAAACAAACAAACGAAAATATTCTGCAATTTTCTGAAATCAACAGAAGTCTTTCAAGTGACTATCAAACTAAAATCTTAGCTTCATCCCTCGACTCCTTGCCTGAGCCCACCACCATGCATCAGCAAACATCCCTGTTACAGGATTTCTCCTTGCCAACCCCATGCTGCTTCTGGTGGAAGCCACCTACATCTCTGCAGTATGACACTGAGTTGACCTCTCTGGGCCTGTGTTACGAGTAGGGCATGAAACATTATTTGTGAAGTGCTTAGCAGTGTCCATCATATAGGAAGTTCCATATTAAGTGCTCCTGGGAAAAAAAAAAAGCCTCGAATACAGAAATAGCTTTCCAATGGCCCTCCTCCCCCTACAGTCCACGCAGAACACAGCAGCTTGATCCCTGGAAAGCCCAAACCATTTCATCACTGTTCCCTAGCTCTTCCGGGCCCAACTCTCCACCCACCGCACCTTGCTCAGTCTGGGTCTGCAAAACAGACTGTGCCCATAGGGTCTGTACCCTCGCTGTTCCTTGTGACCCCTTCTGATCAAAAGTTACTAAGTGAGTCGTTCACTGGCCACCCTCCAATTTCCGGCCCATTTTTTTGCTAACCTGCCCGCGGGCGCCCTTCCTGCTTCCCTCCCACCTCTAACCACCACCCAGCACTGAATCTACTTAGTAGCAGTCCGCCTGTCTTCCAGGGGTCAGGGCTGCAACATGGTCTATCTTGTTCCCTGCACTATCTTACAGTCCAGACAGTGCACACAGTAGGTGCTCTTTATCCACTTACAAGTGCAAGGACACTGAACTGCCACTCCCGTTTCCACATTCCTGTGATATAGGTCTGAATCATTCTTGCCGTCTGGACTTACCTGATCACTTTTTATGCCGGCGGCAACTTTTACTCGACGACTGACTCCTGAGGTCACTTGACCTGGCTTGTGGTAATCGCGCCTGTCATTTATGCAACGCTTTACAGTGCATTCTCTGATTTGAGTCCCACAAAAGTAGGGGCCAACTAGGAAGGAAAGGTGGGGTTAGCAGAAACAGGTCCCCTGCCTTCCAGACCAAGCTTCCAACTATCTGGTGAATGAAAGAAAAAAAAAAAAAAAGGGAGGGAGGATTTCTGAGTCACGCTATGGAGCGTTGCAGCCCCATGGGGCAAATGGGCGGCCCTCTGTCAGTCATCTAGAGATATTCACAGCACCATTTATTGACCCCCGTTTTCACATTCCACCTGCGTCGTCCTCACAGTGTTTCCTGCAGCAGGTGGCCACAAGGGCCATCTTTCTGTCTAGTTCTGTCTTTGTTCCCTGAAACAAAGCCTGGTCCCTAGCAGGTGTTCGACGAACAGAGTGGCCTGAGGAACTCCTTTTAGAGGTCGGGGTCACCAGGTCCCACACGCAGCCGGTGGCCGCGCGGGGGTGCCAACTCAGTTCTGGGGGCTCGGCAGTCTCCCGGGCTGGGCGGGCCGCACCAGTTCCGGGTCCGCCGCGGGAGGATGAGCTTGCCCCAGGCCGGGCGGG